TCTCTCAAAAATAAATACATAAACTTAAAAAAAACTTAGTATCTCCTTGACTTCAAATGTATGAGCCACTTGAAGCTAATTATATATTAGTGTTTAATGGAGTGCAGTCTCAATCCCAATGCAAAGCACACCGTTAGGGAAACAGCAGAAAAAGATTTCTTTTCCTTCCTACAGTATTATATGCTTAAATAAAATGCCTATAAGAGCATAAAACATCTTGATTTACTAAATTACTCATGATCTTCTGACCCCAATTAAGTCTGAAATAGCAAAATCCCATGGCCCATTGTACCCTAAGCTTCTGTCTCCGAGGGATGAAAATATACAATAAACTGTTCTATGATGTTTGCTATTATGGAGACTAAGGTAAGCATAAGACCATAGCTATGTTTATAAATGCTTCTAAAATGAGAAAGTGTGAGTATAAATTCACTCATTCATTCATTCCATAAATATTTACTGACTGCCTTACTATACACCAGACATTGTTTCTGTGACCTGGAAATACAGGAGTAAACAAAACAGCAAAATCCTTCCCATCTTGAAGTTTACATGTCAGAAGGGAAAGAGACTCAGATAATAAATGCATTAAAATGGGACTCTGGCTCAGTTTCAGAGGCAACCCTAAAAGAGCTGAGGAACCAAGCCTCCCTCACTTTCCAATGAATGCTATGGCAAAGGACATTTGTTCTCAACCCGTGGTTCCTTCCCCCGAAGAGGATATGAAACAGAATGGTGGAGAAGCCGAGAGAATTAACTATCTTAGAAAGATTTTCAAGCCTAGTGAGAGTGGCTTCCCAGAGACACCCCTGTGAGCTCCAGGGCCTGGAGCGGCTCTGAAATATGACTTGCCTGGGAAATCCGAAGGGCAAGAAGAGGGGTGAGGGTCTTGTTGAGGTAAGTAATTGCACGCTGACCTATGGCAGATGAAAGGTGCCTGTCCTCCATGGCCTGAGTGTGCACACCCGTGTGTGTGTGTGTGTATGTGAGAGAGAGAGAGAGAGAGAGAGAGAGAGAGAGAGAGAGAGAGACAGAAAGCGAGAGAGGGGGGAATTGGAGGGGAGAGAGAGCTCCCTTCAGACATCAACTCCCAGGGAGAAATTCCAAGGCCTCCTGACAGCTGGGAAATGGGGTGCCTAGTCCTCAGAGGCGATTCCAAACTTACACCTCAGCTTCCTGCACATGGCAGTTTAGGAGGGATTCTGACAGGAGGAAGCGCCTCCAGCTCAAGTCCACCTGGATGGAGCAGTGGAAAAATCACTCTTAAGTAACTAGGGATGTTTTGTCTGGTGGAAAACAGACTGAAGGGAAAGATCCCCTCCACCACCCCTCCTGACAGTTGAAAAGCTATGGGTAGTTCACTGACCACGAACATGGAACTGTCTCATTTGCCTCACATGACTCTTATCAGTAAGAGTGCCAGGCATGCCTGTCCGCACAGATCGGTCCCCTGACTGCCTCCTGTGGTTCTAGTGACACTCAGGTGGCTCTTGTGTCCCAGTTCTGCTCATGACACCCCTGACTCCCCCCCACTGTAGTCTAATCCAGTCCCATCACAATATTGCAATAATGTAATTATATAATCTTCTAATGACTATAGTCCTCCAGCCTCTGTTAGCTCTTTTTTTTTTAAGTTTATTTATTTATTTTGAGAGAGAGAGAGAACAAGCAAGCACGAGCAGGAGAGGGTAGAGAGAGGGAGAGAGAGAATCCCAAGCAAGCTCCAAGCAGTCAACGCAAAACCGATGTGGGCTCAAACTCACAAACCACGAGATCATGACCTGAGCTGAACTCAAGAATCAGACGCTTAACCCACCGAGCCACCCAGACACCCCTGTTGACTTTTTTTTTTTTTTACAGTTTTTTAAGTTTATTTATTTAAGAGAGACAGAGACAGTGTGAGCAGGGGAGGGGCAGAGAGAGGGGGAGAGAATCCCAAGCAGGCTCCGCACCGTCAGCACAGAGCCTGATGCCCGATGCGGGGCTCAAACCCACGAAATCGTGAGGCCGGGAACTAAGCCACAGAAACACCCTCCAAGCTGCAACCCTGAAACTCTCCACCTGCTTGTCCCTCTATGGATACACTTAGAGGAAACATAATCACACACGAGTGAAAGGAATCCAACAGACCAAATGCAGGGCACGGGGTCACACAGTAACTTTTACACATCAGCACCATGCTTCCAATCTAGGGGGTCCACGTCATTACGTGGTCCCTGCAATGCGCACAGACGCCTTTGGCGCCGGGGGCAATCCAAACTCACTTGTGGCTTCAGGCAGACAGTCTGCGAGCAGGCAGCACAGAGGCTGCTGACAGTTCTTTCAGTTTGACAACGTGCTCTCCTACCGATTCATGAGAAACGTAGGTGAACGCGAATTTGGAGGTCCGAGCATGTCGGAGCCTGACTCTTCCTGAAAAACCACACTGTGGTCACTCTGCCAGACCCACCACTGCTTGTGTCTATGCCACGTCGGCTTGCAGGTCCCGGACCACGCACTGCCAGAAATGCCCAGTGTGCGTATCTCCAAACACAGACTTTAGAAATGTCTGGATTGTGAGCCCTGCATGTTCAGAAAAAAATATGTGGGGTATCCTCGCCTAGAGACCCTCTGTGTCTCCATAAACAAACAAACAAATAAATAAGTGAGGTTACTGTATCTGAATATCAGTCCTGTGTCTTAGCTCCTTGGTCCTGAAGTGCAGGAAAGAGGAAAGTACTCACAACAGTGCTTCCCTATACGAACTGCACAGATGCCTGTGGGTTTCCGTTTCAAGCCCAGTGCCTCCCTCTCTCCCATTAGGAGCAGCACCAGCAGACGTGCGTGCTGATCATGCTTTGCCTGGGCACCGACCTTGCAACATTTTGTGAATTCGGGATATTTCTTTACATAGAGAAGAACGGCTTTTTGCTTTTGATTTCATGCTTCACCTCCTGACAGTGTCAGTCCCTGGTGCACCAGGTAGAAACATTGGGCCGATTGTCCCGCGCTTCTGAAATAGTCGCACGACCACCCCTGCAGAGACTGAGGCAACTCGACAGAAAGCAGGGCTGGTTAGTTGGGAAGAAGGCAAAGCCAGGCACTGTCATCTAAGTATGAAGGGAGAAAATTCCAGTTACCTGATTTTCAGATAAAACCATAAGGAGATACCTTGATATAAAAGTAACAGATCATTTAATTGAACATACACAGGTGCTCCTTTTTTATTTTTTTTAATGTTTATTTATTTTTGAGAGACAGAGAGAGAGACGGGTACGAGCGGGGGAGGGCAGAGAGAGAGCGAGACACAGAATCAGAAGCAGGCTCCAGGCTCCGAGCTCTCAGCACAGAGCCCGACGTGGGGCTTGAACTCACAAACCATGAGATCATGACCTGACCCGAAGTCAGACGCTTAACGGACTGAGCCAGCCAGGTGCCCCCAGGTACTCATTTTTAAAGCACTTGTTTCTGAATGTGTATGATACCCCACCTTTTTTTTTTTTTTTCAAACATGAGCTCCAGGCCAAGCCATGAAATACAAGTTGCCTGTATGTTATAACCTTGGTTCTGAGGCCAGAAATTACTCTGTTTCAATGTCTTCGTTTATGTTGAACTGTAGGAATGAGGCAAGAGTGGGTGTGGTCCCCTGAAAAAGGGATCTTGAGGTTTGATAAGGATTATGCTTGCACTCACTTTTCTCCAGCTCTTCGTCACTTGTTGTAGTAAGGATTTAAGTGACTTCGAAGAGCCCTTACTTAGGGGGGCACCTGAGTGGCTCAGTCGGTTAAGCATCTGACTCTTGATTTCAGTTTAGGTCATGATCTCACAGTTCGTCAGTTCGAGCCCCACATCGGGCTCTGGGCTGTCAGTGAGAGATTCTCTTTCTCTTTCTCTCTCTCTCTCTCTCTCTCTGCCCCTCTCCCACTCTCATGTGCTCTCTGTCTCAAAATAAATATATAAACTTAAAAAAAAAGAAGAGTGGTTACTCCTGTTCTCCCTCAGGCAGGAAAGTCAACATGGCGGCTGCAGTCCTCACTATTCAGATGAAGAATCATAATATGCATTATAAATGCAATAGTTCAGGAAAGACAGAGCCATTATTTGCTGTACTGCATACACCAAGTCGTCACCTCTTTTCCTGAAGATTCACCACAAGTTGATAAGTTGGCGGCAGTGACCAATGGCCCTTCCCGCACCACCCTGTTGGTTGGGCCAAACACAACTTCCTTTTTTTTCCATGTTAATATACAGCCATCTCACCTGAGACACTGGGCACAATCTTTATTTCTGACGGTATTGTTTGGAAAAATTGACCTGGTGTGGTTTAATGTTTACACTTGTGGAAGCACTTCAAATATGGAAACTCAGAAGGCAGACCATGCCTCCTAATTTGAACCTCAGAAGAAATCGTCACATTCTTTTCTATGCCTTCAGATTCTTGCAGGGCAACGGGAAATGGATCCAAAATTTTGCAGCAACATGCTTGAGAAACCCTCCCCCAGACTCAGATTACTCTCTTCCAGTACTTGATTGAGGCATATGGAAGAGATCTCAGCTGATGTATAAACAAGTCATGACCGGGACCCGGCCTCCTACCCAGTACTCCTGCTACGTGGCTTGGAAATGTTAAGACGGTGCTCTGCCTCCTTTCCACTTGCCACCACATTCTCCCCAGCAATCCAATATGCAAAGCGTGTGCCAATGTTGCTCCGCCCTCTGCCTTATTTTGTTGAACATACCCTGAGTTCACCTTAACCAGCCAGAATGTTCCAGATACACTGCAAGCGTACCAACGAAGACCGACTTGGGAACTTGTGGGGGAGGATAGCTCTGTAAATGACAAAAACGTGTCACCAACCAGCTCCACGCTACTCAACTTGCAGCTGCTCAAACACTTGACGCCCGCTCCCAACGGGACCAGCACGACGCACAGACAGCATCTCTCGTATCAGATAAAGACAGACCCAGAAGCCCAGCGAAATGCATTCCGACCTCAGCAGAGAACAGCACACGTCTCTTACCTTGCATCGTTGCTTTTGTTGGTTCCGAGAACAGGGGGATGAGCAAGAGGTAGATGAGGTAGACAAAGGAGAGCCCATTGTACCGGAACGCACACGCTGCGGTTGGGAAGAGAAATGAGAGGGAGAGCGTCATTAACAATGGCAGGCTGATGGGACCAGGGTGCACAGGGCCTGCGTGGGTGACTGCATCAGCCGTCGCTAGGTCAAATGGCGACCTAAGCAGATAAGTCAATTAGGAAGTAAAAATTCAGCCTTTCTTCTGTGTTCCTCACTCTGTCGAGCACCATTAGAAATGCAGAATTAAAACGCATGATCCCTGCTCTTAAAATCTACCCAGGAAGGCAGCACCCACATACCTGAATGAAGGCAGTCCATAAATGAGTCATAAATTAAGCTGGAGAAATTAACATTGCTACAGAAATATAGAGGCAACGGGATTGGGGAGGGTTTGGGATGCGCGGGGAAGGTTTTTCCATGGAAGAGAGGAGACAGAAGAGACAGACAACAGAAGGATATCTGGTAAACGCTCCATGGCAGGGCTTTACACAAATTTTCTCATTTAATCCTCATTTTATGAGTAGGAACAGTCAGGCTCAGAAAGACTCAACCGCTCACCTGAATCTCCCAACTAGGATTTGACCGAGTTAGAATTAAGCTCAGACCTGCCAGGCTCCCGACCCTATGCTCCTTCTTCTGCATCGCTTATCTGACACACAGAACTCCAACGACTGGCTCCAGTGCGTGCCTTAGCTCTCCAGGTTCCCATTTCCCCATCTGTGAGGCACACATGATAACTGTCTGTAACTCATTGACTCATTATGAGGGATAAATAGAAAGATATAATATGATAATACCTATGGCTCAGCGTCTTATACCCAGGAGGCCCTCAAAAACATGAGCATTTATCGTATCATCCTCATTATTATCCAGGGAGAAGAAAGTGTGCAGTGTTCCATGCAGAAAGAAAATGAGCACATTATAGCAATAAGAAATAAATTTACTGGCTGACTAAAGAAAAACTAAAGACGAGAAGGACTGAATATGAACCTGTGCGGTGAGGAAATCTGTTTAATGATTACACAGATGGAAACATGTTGGAATGAAAGTTGGGAGGAGAGAAAATAGAAGGCAGTGGACTATGGAGTTGATGTTAGTACATAACCATAATAACAATTATTACTATTAAATAATAATAATAATAATAATGATGATGATGATGATCTGGTGACTGTGTGAGAAATTTGGACTGGGAGAGAGTGAAACTGAAAAGTTGTGGTAATTGGGGAATAAATGAGGATTCCAGACAGAGCAGTGATGACAGCAAGTTTAAAAAGCAGCAGATGGGGGCGCCTGGGTGGCGCAGTCGGTTAAGCGTCCGACTTCAGCCAGGTCACGATCTCGCGGTCCGTGAGTTCGAGCCCCACGTCGGGCTCTGGGCTGATGGCTCAGAGCCTGGAGCCTGTTTCCGATTCTGTGTCTCCCTCTCTCTCTGCCCCTCGCCCATTCATGCTCTGTCTCTCTCTGTCCCAAAAATAAATAAACGTTGAAAAAAAAAATTAAAAGAAAAAAAAAAGCAGCAGATGGAATAAAAAAGCATTTTGTAAAATAAATATGGAGAGGTGTGAAGAGAAATTATACAACAGTGACTCCAAGGCTTGTAACCCAGGTAATGATAAGGATTACTGCCATGGAGAAAAGTGATTTAAGAAGTGGTAAGTTTAGGGGCGTCTGGGTGGCTCAGTTGGTTAAGTGTCCAACTTCAGCTCAGGTCATGACCGCACGGTTCATGAGTTTGAGCCCCACACTGGGCTCTTTGCTGTCAGCACAGAGCCTGCTTTGGATCCTCTGTCCCCCTCTCTTTCTGCTCCTCCTCTGTTTGTTCTCTCTCTCTCTCTCTCTCAAAATAAATAAACTTTAAAAAATATGAGTTCACTTTTAGACAAACTCACAGAATTAAATCACAGGGTGGGGACCAGATGGAAACAGCCAGTCGTTAACATGGACAGCATCCTTGCTTAGAGCTCTAGGGGGAAAGGGAGCTGCAGCCTGAGCAAAGTGTTCGCAGAAATGACAAGAAGGGACAGATTCTCCCAAGGCAAGAGCAATGGACAGATGTACACAAGACAGAAGCATCTGCCGCGACTGCTGCCTGCATATGGGGTAAAGATGGAGGGGAAACTGGCAGGTATGCAAGAAAAAAAAGCGGCAGAAAATTTAGGACAGACATGAGAAAATCCAGGAAGGTCCAGTTTCACAAGAGAACAAGTTTTCACGAAAAAGTTCACTACGACAGAGAGATGAATTGATCACCAGCAAGGATGTCTTCGAAGGTCTCTGAAGGAGGAGGGCGTCACATGGAAATGCAAGAGAAGCACTGTTGTAACCAAGAAGTAGGAAATGAGAAGGGGAGTCCGGGGGGGTCAAGAGACCCCGAGAGGATTGAGTAGGGGAGACATGGCACGGGCAAGGCCTGGGTGCCCTTGGTCAGAGGGTGGAGCATCTGGAACCACAGGACAATCCAGTGTGCGATGCACATTGGGACTCACAAACATAGTTCCCACGCAGGGAGACCAGATCCAGGAGGGCTGATCTTGAGACAGAATTTGAACAGCAGGAGCATGGCATAGGCCAGCCCCCAGCCCTCGCTTCTGGTGGCTTACTCTAGAGTCCAGCAATCAGCGGCACAGTAGGGCAAAGTGAGGGATGGTATCCTAAGGAAAGGAGGAATTCAGAAAACCTGCTTTTCATTCCCAAAGAATCGCGGACATATTTGTAGCTGTTTACACCATCACTGACATTCCTAATCTCCTTTATGGAAAGACCCAAAGCAGGAATAAACTTTCACACTATTGATGGGGCTGATAGGAAAATATATAAATGGGACAATGTAAAGGAATAAAAACATATGCTTGAATTGGCTTTCTAGATTGTTTTTCCTTCTGTCTCTTATTTCTCATCCACAGATGAAGCTCCTTAAAAACAATTCAAAGATATTTGGTTATTCATTCAGCTAACAAATATTTATTGAGCGGGTACTATGTGCCGGGACCCCCAAAGATCCTCCTCTGCCTTTAGGAACTCACATTTTGGTGAGGAGACGTATGAGGAACAACAAACACAAGGTCAACCACCAGAAACGGTGGAAAACAAGCACTATGTGAAGAGGAAGTCAGCAGGGAAAGGGGGTAGGTGAGGCAGGTGAGCCAGCTGACTGAGTCTTCCGTGGGAGAGGGTGCCGGGGCGGGGACTTGGAGCAGAAGCAGGCGCGGCCTGGGTGACCCGCCCCACAGTGTCCCACAGGGCGCCAGGGTGCCAGCAGAGTCCTGGATGGGGCCAGACCCGGTGCACCTTGCAAGGAAGGGATCAGAAGACACTGGCTGTCACTCTGAGATGTCAGTTCTGTGCCGGTTCTCACCCTCAGTTCCAGGCTGCAAGCCCAGCTCCTGCCTAGGCCCGCGGCTCCGTGCCTCAGTTCACACCCTGTGTGCTGCGCCGCTGCCCAGCTAAAGAGCCATCACCCTCCATGTGCTGCTTCCTGCCTGCAGGCTTCGCCCGCACCCCTCCCTCCGACCGCAACACCTTGCCATCCTTCCTCCACCAAGCATCTTGCCACACGGCTTACGTGTGTCCTCCTCTGGCTCATCGCCCATGTCCACAGCCTCCCAAACAGGTGCATTTCACCCCCTGGTGCCTCTTCCAGGTCACTTCTCATTCAGCGTCGCACGCATCAGTACAGATGCCTGTGACCACCTCTGCTGTCTCCAGGGCCCCGTGTACAGGGGGTGCTCAGACCCATGAGAATCACGATAAGTGCATAAATGAATGAAATGGAATGGAAAAGACGTGAGGGCATCCAGAAAGAGAAGCAGGCTATCCAAGTGTGCAGCCTGCCTGGCAGCAGAAACACACCACAATGGACATTTAAATAAAAACATCACAACTGACATTTACACAACCGTAAACAAAATACACACCTAAACAATTGGAACATTTCTTTCTTTTCAGCCCTACCCTAGGGGTTTTGTCCATGTTCATTAGTATTGTGCAGCAAAATTACCCATTCCTGAGTATTTCTGGGGGAAAAACTCAAGTAGAATTCACTTTAACGAGCACTCACAGTGACTTATCCGCTGTGAATGTGTCTCATAATAGCTTACAAAAATGTGCTTGCTATGTGTCAAGCCCTGACGTGTGCACTCCATGCACACTGACCATATGATTACCATGCCCCTTTCACAGGGACTGTTATTACTCTCTCTCTACACACGAAAAACCAGGAAGCGCAGGTAAGTAACCAGGCTGAGGATTGAGCCGGGGAGTCTAGTCCCCGAGCCTGCACAATCATTAGGAAGCATTGCGGCCTCACGATGGCTCCATGCCGTCACCTGTCTATCCTGTCCCCAGTTAACCATCAGGGGCTCAGTGAGCCAGAGCCTTCCCTCCACGGGATGACAAACGCTCTGCATGTATCAGTCTTGCTGTTTCAGTTTTATAACCTCACTCTGTCCGGTTTCCAATTATGCATAGTGGAAATGTGTACACTGGGGACATTCCCCAAGACTGACTTTGGAGGGGGAGAAAGGAGACCGCTGTTGGGGTCTCGCATCACAGCCTTTGGTAACCACTATTCACAGCTAAGTCCGAAGACCTTAAGGAGAGGACAAGGACAATGGTCTCCCGTAATGGCCACCTCCTGGTTGTCATGCCCATATGTAATCCCCTGCTTCTGAATACAGGCTGGAGCCAGTGACTCCCCGTGAAGAGAGACAGTATCCTGCTACCACTTGGTGGCTTCTATTCTGGGTGCCCCTCTGCCTCTCCCCTTGCTCACCAGGCATGTGGCAAGGGGCTGAAGTCTCCAGCCAGCAGCCAGCCCTCTCCGGCCAACAGCCACGCGAGTTAGCTTGGAGGCAGCTCATCTGGAGACCGTGACCTCACCCCCACCCCCCACCCCACCTTGACTGCAGCCTTGTGAGACAGCCTGCACCACATGCGGAGCCACACCTGGGTTCCTGACTCCCAGAAACTCTCAGATAGTTTGAGCTGCTAAATACCTAGGCAATTTGTATGCATTAAGAGATACCCACACTTAAAAATCAAGCTACTTCTAAAAATCCAACTTCATTTATTTTTGTCTGAAATTATCCCATTTGACTGATGACAGTGGCCCAACAAGGTGAATTCCCTGCTTTACTTTTTATGTGTAAAGTTGCTATCCAGGAGCTCACCCAAGCTGCTGGGGACTCTGAATGACATTTCCTTTTTTTTTTTTAATGTTTATTTTTTGAGACTGAGAGAGAGAGAGAGAGAGAGAGAGAGAGCGAGAGCATGAGTGGGACAGAAGCAGAGAGAGAGAATGACACAGAATCCGAAGCAGGCTCCAGGCTCTGAGCAGGCAGTACACAGCCGGACACAGGGCTTGAACTCACAAACAGCGAGATCGTGACCTGAGCTGAAGTCGGACACTTAACGGACTGAACCACCCAGGCACCCCTAAATGACATTTCTAAGTGAGTTATCCCCATCGAGCGCAAAATATGACTTTGAACTTGCTGAGGCAGCACATGTGAGCTAGAAAAGCCTTAGAAGGCAAATAGCAATCGCTCCTTCATCAAGCATGATGTTGCCTTTTTGCAGGAGCACATTTGCAGCTCTTCGTAATGAGCTCTTGTGTTCTGTCTGCACTGTGTTCCAGATAC